AATGCCGGAAAACAAGTTTTCCCCCCCTTTTTAAATGCCCCCAAAAAAAAAAAAAAAAAAAAATCTTTAAAGACCTATCTACTTCTCAGTGAGACGATAAATCACAGGGAGTTAATTAGTTAGTTTATAAATATACCAAAAAGTTGACTGCTGCACCTTGAGCAGCGATAGTTATTAAATCACGTTGCTATTACCCCAAATATAACTTTTAGAAAGCAAACCCAGACTCTACAAGTGTATCAATTGTTAGTTTTAAGGCTTTCCCTCGCCTGGAAGAGGCTCGGCGCGCCTGTGTTTACTTGCAAAAAGAAAAAGAAAAAAAAATACTCCAAGAGTCTCGAATTTTCATTACTATAATGGGAAACAATCTATGCGTAAAGTTTTAAAAATGTGTCACTAATAATATTTTTGTCGAGAGCTAAAAGTAAAAAGAAAATGTCAAAATTCTGCTCGCCGACACTAAATATTTATCCTCTTTTGTTTTCATTTTCTCAAAAGGCCTACTCTCCTCGTTCGAGAATTCAATTTTAGGTTTAATAATAATGAGATAAATTATTGAAGTTTGTTAGGACCCGATGCCACGTTTTTGCGTAAATTCTATTTCTGAATGCAGGTTGAGGTTCAAATACATTTTTTTGTATTTAGAAAAGTATTTTTTTTTTTTATTTCTTTCGCTTTGTGCGCTACACAGCGATCGTTCTCCCTACTGCAGCTAAAACTCGGTCAAGCCATCCTGGGTCAGTGTTATGGGGTATTTCAGGTTACAGAAAATATACGGGGATGTAGTAAAACAGTATGTGACCAACCTGAAGAAGGCCTGTCCGAGTATCTGGTGCAGTAGACCCAGGCTGGCCACAACATGGGCTGCGACATGGATGGGTTGGAACTGGCTTGGGAACTGTCTGAGTCTGAGCTTAGGCACTGGTCTCCGCTCTCCCCGCTCGGTTTCAGGGACTCCTCTGCGGCTTTCGCGGGCTTCTTGGGCCCGGTGACTGTGTGTGGAGTGGAGGTCCCCTCCGCTGGCACAGTGCTGCCCACCGGCTCAGTCTGAGGGGCGGCGGGGCTGCCGCGGCTCTCCCGCGACGCTGGGCTGCTCTCATCGCGGTGAGCGCCCACGTCCTTCTTGCGTCCGAAGTCCGGCCGGAGGATGTTGTCGATGAAAAAATTGGTGACCCGGTGCGGGATTTGCAGGTTCCCCGGCGCCTGTAGCAGGGGGAGGATGGCTCTATTGGATTCATCCGCGGACTCCTGTCGCTCCACCGCATCTCTGTTGCCGTGATCATTTTCTTCCATACTGATTCACTTTCCCCCACTTTATGCTCTTTAACCCCTTTGTCGCTCCCTCCGCAGCAAGAAATTTTGCGAAGAACTTTGAGGGAAATTACCCCCACCCCCCCAAAAAAACTGCACGGGTAAAATAAATAAATAAAACAACTCAGATACCAGTGAGTGCCTTGGACACCACGCAAAGCCTTGCCGTAGTGTCCTTTGAGAAAAGCATAATTTGTCTCATATATTCCCTTAAAATCGGGTTACAAGTGATATCTTAGAGCTAAAGCGCTTGCCATTTGCGCACCATCCAAATTTATACCACCATCCGATTTGTGCGTCCTCGGGAATGCCTACACCTAAACTAAACTAAGGGTAAATAAAGAGGCTCCTAAACTGATGCTCTAATACTCTCACTCTGGAGTTTTGTTCTTATTTTCAATGCGAGCCCCCCGAGTGACGTTCTCCCACCCTCCTCCCAGACACGTGCCTCTGACCAATAGAACGGCAGAAACTGGGCCACATGACACAGACTACGGAGCAGTCTACAAACGCCCCCCTCCTCGCCCTAGTAAAAGGGGAAGAGCCCTGAACATGTACGAGGAGGAAAGCCTAATTTGAATCCGGTGCATGCACACAGATACACCCAGTATTTCATGACATGTTGTACTTTATTTTTTCAGAACTTTGAGAAAATGTGCATTGTGAGTAGAAAAACAGAAACAACGGTAGGGTTGACATGTTCAGCCACGAGGATCCCCGGGGTTTAACAATCTCAATAACACACAAGGAAAATAGATTTTCATTTGTTTAATATGCCCCAGAACATACATGAATGATGCGAAGTTTAATTATGGTGACTTTTGTAGATGAAAAGTAGAAATACTCATCAGCTGATTAACAGTTGAAAATCTGCCTAAATCAAAACTAATTCTGCACCTGACCTATTTAGGGGGGGGGAATGCAACATATGCTGGTGTATCACGTAGAAGTGAGGTGCTGTTTGTTGAATTTAGGCCCACTTGTAACAGTTGTGATAAATTTAAGATGTTTATAGTTTAAACAAAACCGCTTCACATAAAGTCAGCTGGTGTGGATTATGCGTAAAAATCAACATTTGGAGATGAAGTAAAACAATATTGGATTTCTAAACCATCGTATCACTTATATTAACATTTACTAGATCATTGAACTTAACGACTTTTCTTTGTGTGTTTGTTTCCTGCAAAATAGCGTCACTTCATCTCATAATATGCAACTAAAAAAGCGTGATAATTACAGCACGATGACCAGAAGAGCCAACACTGATATGCTTTTAGTATTTTAAATGTGATTGCTTTCTCCTGCCGTGACGCCTGCGGTCGCCCCAGAACAGGGTCCATATCCCTTTAAAAGAAATCAGTGATGCAAACAAACTGTTTTGTGCGCGCCGCTCGGGATCCGGAGTCGCGCCAAAGACAAAACTTTGAGTAACTTTGCTGACCACCTCCAAAGCCGAGTTTTCTGTGCTTTTCTCCCCCAATCAGTGAGGGCGGACGGTGCTCATCTGGCATTTTGGAGCCGGGACTGTTTGCGTCAATAAGGAGGAATCTGCCGAAAGTGCGGCGGTGAGAGTGACTGAGTTGATTCTTTACTATCAAAATGCGTGCGTTGTGTTTTTCCACATCTTTTCCACTTTTATTTTTGTTTGCAAATTTGATTTGGGGAACGTGTATATTTTCTAAAATGCTACCTTGCGCTTGACATGTTTTGTGCTTACTTTGATGGATGTGATCTTATAGCATTGTTTTATTATTGCTTGAATGGTTTTTTTTTCTAATATTAGCTGTTTCTATTTGAAATTTTGGCATATGAAACTACTCTCGTTACATTTGGCTAGCTTTGCAGAAAAAACCCCGCATTTTATGCTTTCGCCTTTTTGATTGCTGCTTTGTTTATAAAGAGTACAGGTATTGTTTTTTGCAATTGTATTTTTTTTTAGCTTATTCTGGTCAAATCCCTAACTTATACGTGTCCAGTATTTAGTTTTTTAAAGAATATTAGAGCAATAGCTTCATTGTGAAGTTAAAAATGCATATCTTATTTCCGAGCCTAAACATTTGGATTTTGATTACCTGACCAAGACCCACCGCTTCTGTGCGTCTAGTCCAAACAGTGGCAAGTTGAGAGTGAAAGGTGTAATTAGACAGGCCACTCTCACGCTGCGATTGTTTCTCACTTGTGAGGGGAAGCGCAGATTAATGTTGAGCGCTAAATAAGCAGCAGACAATGGTTCCACAGACAGGCCGCTACCGCCTGGGCTTGGCCTCTAACCTCCCCAGCAAAAAACCAGGGGCGTCTGGAGGAAATGACACCATTGCAGCCTCTGAATTAGAATGGGGAGGCCTTTTGTGCATTACAATATATTACATATTATTCGACCAAGCCCCCCTAAAAGTCGTATTATCCCTGAAAAAGACCGAAAAACATTATAAAAAATATTGTTTATTAAAAAAAGAGACGAGTCTAGGACAGATAGTAAAGCTCGGGAAATTTTACAAGATTTTTGTTCCCGAAAAACAGGTAAAAATAGTCACTTTGATGCAATCATTCTTTTATATATTCATTTTTGGCAGGCAAGCATCCATCGTGGTCACTACTGTCCGCTTTGTTATAGGAAAAGTGAAAATTAACTGCGATATCATGTTTTTTTTTTTGTTTTGTTAAGATGCCCGCGTTTAATGGTATGCAGCAAAAATTACTATTTCACCAGTTTATGAAATTATAAGCTTTTTTTATTTTTTACTCGAGATGCAAGATTTTTGCAACTTGAGTCAATCCCTTAACCAGCCACTTTCCTGTATGGTTAAGGGATCGCAAATGAAACCCTTATTTCACTTTACCGCCTTTTAAGCTATAAACTGGTAAATATGTGGTAGCATTTTCTTATTTGGCTGAGGTGTTTCCTTACAGCTGTTTGGTTTTGTTAGGTACTTTGAATTAGGATTTTTGCTGTTTCATGCAAAACCACCCTGCAAATAAATAAATGTACGCCAACTCTGTTTTCATCATACCGGTTGCCTTTTTGCTCTCAAAAAGTGCAGTAAGGCTTCTATCTTTTGCATTCCACATAAATGTGCAATAAATAGTTAAAACATGTGCAGTTTGGGCAAAGGTTTTTGTTTAAAACTGGTTTTCTTGTTGTTTTGACTGTTAACGCTTTTAACAAAGAGCCATGCAGCTGTTGCTGTTGTGCAGAGGAAACCTAGTTCATGGAAACCAGTCATAGGCCTCGATGTCTGCAACGATTTCACATGTTGAACGCAAACAACACGTCCTTGCAGGCCCTGCAGCCGCTTAAATTTCTTGGTAGCTGCGCATGGAGCAAACCCATGCATTTAAAAAAAAATGTTTATTTTTATTTTTTTAAATAAACATAGTATTTACTAATCATACACTGAAATGCTTTGCTTGTTTCCATTCCAGAAGTCCACACTAACAAATACAACCTCTATTTGCACTGTTCCTGTATTTTCTTGTACAAAAATAAGAACAATAAGTTGGAATGTGTGCGTATATATATATATAATGTGCGCACGTATTTTACCTGTTTTTCATAGATTATTTTTCTAATTTTGTGAAGACAAAGCAACAAAGCTTAAACTTATATATCCCTGCATGCAGTCAATGTATATGGCAACATCCACATATAGCTCCACTCCCCCTCCCTCTTCCTGACTCGTGCACGCACGCGCACGTAGACACATCACCCCTCCCTACGCCTATAAATCAATCGCGCGCGTTGTGCGCATGTGCCCTGTCCTTGAGTTCCTATAACCTATTTCATTCCACACACACCCCCCACCCCGTCCTCCCCCCCCGCCTCCCCCGTATCTCTCCTGGTAGGATTGTCGTATACGTCAGTACTATGGAGTACTACAAAAGGTGACGCGCAGGAGGAGGATTTGTGAATGGACGCCGTGATGTGTGCCAGCTCACTGATCAGAGGGCGGTGGGACCTTCTGCAGATGCGGCCCCACCGTCCCCGTCCTCCCCCACCCCCCCATCCACCCATCCCTCCTTCTTCCCGGTCATCATCCTTGCCTCCAGATGAATGGGGGTCCCCTAAGATATCGGCTATGTCACCATCGCAGGGGTCGCACCAAATCCTCCAGCTTCCTGTGTCCTTTCAAAAACCTGAAAGCACGTCTGTTCTATTTGATGATCCTGTATGATTTTTTTTCCCTCCCTTTTTTCACTTTTTTTAAGGTCTGGAAGCCGGCTGCCCCCTGTTTTTTTTTATTTTATTTTCCTTCTTTTTTTCTTTTCTTATCCTGGGTCGCCCAAGAGCATGGCAGCCGACATAGAAAATATTAGAAGCTAAGAGTGGGTTAAAAGGCAGGATGTAGGAGTGGAAACAGAAACAAAAGTCAGTCGGTAACTGACTAAGATTTTTAAGCTGAGATTTACACCTGTTAAAATGTGAAAATAAGACAAAACAAATACGATCTGAAACTGAAGTTAAACATCGTAAAGCAATCCAGATGTTTGGAGTTCTATTCAGCAATTAATAATTGAATCTTATTGCATGGGTTCTCCAAATTGCCTAAATTATGATGACCCTTTTTTGACTAAATATTTGCCTTCACACGAATCATTTCCCCTTTTATTTATTCCTCGCACATTGCACTGCAGCTACATGATGTCTATATAATTTGTTTGTATTTTTTTTCTTCGTAATTTCATTGTGATTGCAGAGAAATCCTCTGGAGTCGCCACGCTGTGGACTTTGTATCTGTGGAATCTTCTGCTTTTAGCCCTTTATAGGTTTTAATAAGTCTTAATCCGTCTGATCGTTGTGGCGTAGATAAGTCTCATTTGAATTGAGATTGTTCTTTCTTCTTCTTCTTCTTTTACTTCTTCTCCTACTTCTCTCAACAGAAGCCTCAAACGGGGCTTAGCGCAAACAACTACCACCCTGAGCGCAATTAGGGCCTCAGCTAAATTAGATGAAGGCTAATTGAATGCAGCTGAGTTCCCATCAGCGAAGTCCTGAATGCTGCACGAATGTGGGCAACAATCCCCGTCTGAAGGTCAATAATTGCTTTTTTTAAGTGTAGGTGTTTATTTTGTGAGTGATCAAGTTATTGAAGGGTTCCACTCCTCTCCTTCATCGTTTTGGAAAGAAAGCGTGTCACAAACTAAAGTCACAGTTTTACAAACTAGCGTCAGCCGCTAGTTTGTATATAAAACTGTGACTTTATATATATATATATAGATAATATATATATATAAATAGAGAGAGAGAGAGAGAGTCATAAATAAAATTTGCACGAATGAAATTATACAGAACCCATAAGAATCAAAGTGGATTTCATGAATAAATTGCACCTAAATGAAAAGTATAAATATGTAAGTAAATAAAGTCTGTACACAAATAAAGACTGCTTGCAGTGAATTAATGCATAAGTAAATAAATTGTCCCGCATTTATTCCCCCCAAATAATGATCTGTCTTGTTTTATTTTTATAAGTCAAATGTACATTAAAATCTCCCGTCTTTTAACCCACATGCAACTTTCTAAACAACAAAGAAGTATTTCATGAATGTTTTGATGTTAAAATAAGATAATAATGCCGTTAAACGTTTGTTTTTATGTACATGGACGCACTTTTTTTTTTATCCTCTCCATTAGTATAATGCATATTCATATTCAAAGAGCAGCTACATGTCTGCGATGCTTAACTAGTGCCAGGCCCCTGGCTTGTCCCGTTGAACTACAGGTCTGCAGTTCTCACAGTGCGGAGGTTTTACTCCTGACACCAACGAATGCTCTGTCCGCAGTGGCTATTCCTGTACGTTTCCAGGCTTTACATTCCCATTCTATCCAGAACAAACAAGCCGCCATGCGATTGTTCCAGAGTTAGCTGGAGAGGAACAAAAAGAGTTAACTTGTCGACAATTATTTAAAAGAGAGATAAAAAAAGAAAAAGTTTGAAGAAAAGAGCGTGCAATGTCAAAAATCATCAAAGCAGCAGCACCTGTGCGCTGTAGTTTGCGTTCATCCCTCAAAAGTTGTGGATCTTCCACTCTCTTGTGCGGGCCAAATCTGGGATGTTTTGGATTTTTGACATGCCAGGGAGGGAGGAACAAGTGGGAGATGGACAGGTGGAAAGCACTTGCTGCAGAGTAAACACAGATTTCTTGCTCTGAGAGTTTAACCAGCCTCTACACAAGGAAAAATGCAATAACTGGAAATTCGCGTAAAGTTGACAGAGAGCCTGTTCGACTTTCTCCTGACGGGTGCACGCAATACAAAACAGAGTCAACGTTTGTCGCGCAGCTTGATGACTCCTGTTCTAAAAATCGCTCAAACACGAGCCTGCAAAAAAAAGCACAAAAATGAGACCCCGTAAGTGAGTTTTAAAAGTGTACCTGAAGTTGGAAAACATTTATGTAAACTTTAAAAAGCATTGCTTTATCTAGATTTTTTATTATTATTATTATTTTTTTTTTAAAGGTGAGAAAACAATTTAAGCTATGTCCTTGCGCTCAGCTCCCAGCTTTAATTATAGATAAAGGAGGTCAGCCAGGAGCGGTTACCCGACCCCTCTCCCTGTGTGGCACCGCGCCCTTTGCAGTCAAACTCGCCAAAATAGTGCCGGACTCCCCCGAAAGTGCCATGTGCGCCCAAGTTCCTTTCTCCCCTTCCCTCCCACGCTGCCGCACCTGAGTTGTTTTTACCCCCCACATCGCGGATATGTTGTGAATTTGTCACTTATCGGGAGCACGGGCTCGTCAGCACCGCAGCACTAACTTTCAGCCATGCCAACTCTGAACGTTTCTCAGCTGAGAGGCGCAAAGCACGTCTGCCCACACACACAGAGACTAATCAGTACATGGCAAACACTGACCTTTGTGGGTGAAGCTGCAAGCTTTAACTAGGTCATTAAGTGTCCATTGATTTACATTATTCAAAATGACAGCACATAGACTTATTGTGTAAGATTTACAAATATTTAGAATGTGCTCAGTTCTGACTTATAACTAATGCTAAATATGTATTTTACTGGGACTCATTTTGGGATAACCAACATAAGGTACTAATGCAAGGAATGGAAATGACAGAAAATATTTAAATAGAAATCTGTAGTGTGGTGTGAATTTATGTCCAACCCCTATATTCTCGTTCCCCACAAATAAAATCCTAAAAACAGCTTGTCCTAAAAATCCACCTTATCAAACGGAGTCCGCCTGTCATTGAGTTCATGTCAGTATACCTACTGCTGGTCCCTTACGACCTTGGAGGTTCATTAGACAGGCACTCGGATCCAAAACTTTTTTTTTTTTTTCTGCCAACGTACGAAACTTTAGTCCTGGTCTAAAATACCCAGAACACTGTCATCATGACTAAACACAGTAGTGGCAGCATTATAATGTGGGGATGCTTTTCTTTTGCAGTCAGTCCAAAAATACTGGAAGAAATCAATCCTGCCAGAGGCTGCAAAAGACTGCAGAATAAACATGTAGCCAGACCAAAGCATGTTCAAGAGTTAGAATGGTCCAGTCAAAGTCCTGACTAAAATTTGATTTCGAATATGTAAGGCTCAGATATTGTTGTTATCAAATGCTTCTCTGTCTAGATTGACTGAGCTTGAGCTATTTGGGCAACAATTCCAGTGTCTAAAAGATATCCTAAAAAATAACAGCAGCTGTAGTTACAGGAAAAGCAGTTCGACAAGGTGTTGGGAACTTAACATAAATGTATGGATGTAACACTTCTCAAGATATTTGAAAACCAAAAAAAAAAAAAAGAAAAAATCAAAAATCATGCATCCTTTTAATTTCTTTTTGCAATTGTCCTCTACTTTGTGTTGGTCTAGCACGTTAAATTCCAATAAAAAAACAACTTGTATCTCTTTTGTTCTTTGCTTTCTGATTTCCTCTCAAGTAAATTTTGAGCTTGTCGACCCGTGTTCTACTTTCAGCCTTTCTATCGTTGAGTTCCTAAAATTGGTCGACTTCGAGACAGATAGTGGAATGGATCTTGATTTATCCCATTAATTTTCAACGTCATTGGCCTGGCTGATATCGCAGAGTCCGATCTGTGTGCTGTGAGGTGCTCTAGGTGTGTTTAATTTACACTGGCAAGAATTTGCTTGGATGGCATGCATAATGTGGCATCACTACAGTTTTACGCTGTCATTTTTATTATTGTCCTGCAGAAGGAAGAGGAGGAAAGCAACATGGAGGTGGCTGAGCTTGCTGACTGAATTGATAAATCCTCCACTCCACCGTGATGATCACGACGATGGCTGTTTATCCTTTTAAAGTTGATGCTGTATCAGTGTTTTTTTTTGTTTGTTTATTTTTGGATAATTTACCATGGAGCAAAGCAGGAAAAGTGGGAATAATGGCCTCTAAACATGCTTTAATGGAAAAGAGGTGTGAACGTATCATTTACCCTGCAGACAGAGGTACACAGAGAAGCCAAAGAGTAGCCTGAGACTGCCATTTGAATGGGATCCGAGACGTAATTTGATCTAAAATGGAGTCCAGTCATTCACCCTCCTCCCTCTCTCCCATGGCATCAACTGTAATTCATTATTCCTGGCCGGCACAGGCAATGAGCGAGGGCAAAGGACAGGAGTGGACTCTGCTCTGGTGTAATGAAGACTCAGTAGACCTAAACGGCCCCCTTCCTCACTTTCCTCCCCTCTCTCCCTCCATCACTTATACATACACGCAATCTTTCATTATCTATCAGAGGGAGCAGCACATTAATGCTGCCGAAGACCTTTTGGTGGAGAAATAAGAGTGTGCAAGGATTTTCTCCACTCTCAATCTATTTCATTGACCTTTTCCATCATGCATGTAACTCGGCTTGCTCGCTGCAGCGCCAGTTAAATATTCCAACAATAATATTCCTGCTGCCACTTAATAATGCATCTTTTTCAAATGCAAAAATGTATGTCCATCAGACTTTAAGGAAATTATATATAAATCTTTTAAGTTATCAATGTGCTTTCTTCACTCGGACATGCAATTTTAACACTTTAGAGCTTATTTTCTCAGATTACAGAAGAGCACTCATTTTATGATTTATAAAGACAAAGAACACTTGCATTATCAAAAAAAAAAAAAATGTTGAAGAACTGCTGGTTTGAGAAAGCTTTTTAAGACATTTCAGTTCCTTGTCCCTCCACTAGGGGTCCACATATGTCTTGTCCAGACTGGCTGAGAGGAAAAATACTGTCATCTGGTGGTAACAGGAAAGACAATTTCTTCACTTTATTTGGAGGAAAAACTTCCTTATATGTAGTTTGTGCTTTATTGCAAAAACATCTTTAGATGTATTTTGAGAAGTTCTCAAAAGCACGGTGGGTTAAAAGAAAAATTGTAGAGTGGAAGGTTTTCAAGAAAAGGTCACAAATATGACTAAAGCTGATTTAAAGCATTTTTTAAATTAACTTACTTTTTAAAACTTACTTGAAGTGACTTAGAATGCACACTTAATAATGTGTGAGTTGTAAGAGTTGAGTTGTTTTCCACATCTTTTATATATGTTTAGATAAAACATGTTTTATATAAATATGAAAGTATGCCTACGGAGTTTAGTACACACGTTCTGGATACTTAGTTTTTACTTTACCCCAAACTAGATGTGACACAAGGGAGAGAAAAAAAAAAATTAAGCTGGGGAAAAAAAAAAAAAAAAAAAAAAAAAAAAACTTCACTTTTTAATGTATCACCACACCATGCCACTTTATTTCTAAAACACTTAAAATACGACATAGCAGCTGGTCGAAGTGCTGCACAAAAATAAAACAACAATAAAACAATATGATAATTACGAGAAAACAGAACAAATATTACAACTACTTGTGTTAATATCTGTTAAACTCTGAGCAATTTAAATGACTTTGTGTGGAGGAGAAACATTGGATCTGCTGATAATTTTTTATATTATGAAATGTGTACACCGTCATTTTATCATAAAAACAGCAACTGAAGAGATTCTTATTTACACATTGTTTTCATTAAGAACCTTTTAAATATCCCTATGTATTTGCTTTTATTTGTGTCACTTTGTTTTTCTTTATTTTAAACAGTTTTATATATTTTTTTAGTCATGAAACACTGGTAGTTTCACATGGGAAAGCTGCTAAGTAATATTTATAGATTTCAATAATTCCTTAATCAAAGCTACTTAGTAAAAATGAGCAATATATATGTTGTGTATTAATTATTATTACAATTGTATTTGGAATCATCATCGTCCTGCCAAAACACCCAGCTGTGTCCAAGGTTCAACCATCGGAGTCGAAGCCTCACTGTCACAGGAAATGAAATTGGTCGGGTGTAACCCAGGACCCTGAAAGCAGATAAAGATGATGGAACACCACTGTCAGGGATTACAATAATGGGAGTTTAACATTACCACTGACTGAGAAGAAGCAAGCCAAAGAATAACCACCTGTTGCAATATAGACACCTCTAAGGTCAACTAAGAGCAGCTGTCCACACGAATAAGTCAAATAGTTTCTGGAGAAGCTTGTGTTTTTAATTGAATGACATAATGATTGGACTATTTGGCCACTAAGAAAAAATATTTTCACGTGTCGAGCTCGGTTGTGGTAGGGTTATTCTGCGGTTCTGTTAAGCTTTCTGTGACCACAAGAGGGAATTGTGAATCATAATTGCTAGCAATATATCAAAACTGGCTTTGGATATAGCATGAAATCAAGAGGTCAAATGTCCAAGAATTTCAGCTGTTTAGTTTTGCAATAACTTGTTATAGAACATTCAACTAAATATTAGCAGGGGTGCGAGGTTATATTTAAACCTGTGTAACACAATAAATTGATAGTTTTCTTTTACAACCATTGAAGTTGTATGTTGCGCTCCTCCAAAAGTAGAGGAGTTCAAACCAATCATTCAAAGCCCAAAAGCAATGTCCAATTCATGTAAACTTCCGTCTTCTTTTTCTTCGTTTTCTTTTTACACATTTGTACGTTTTTGTTCATTTATGCGTTGCATGGTGGATGTTTCTATCTTGTTGCTGCTTTATTGCAACTCCTTCCTCTCCAATCAATAAAGATTGATCTCACCTCAGCTGGGGCCATCTGGATGAGAGAGACCGTTCGACCTAAATGACTCCATTCCGTATTTGTTTCAAAACAGTAGTTTTTTTTTTTTTAAGACGTAAAAGTGAAGTGTGAAATAAAACAGTCAAAAGTAGATCTAGATTCAGAGCTCTCCTGTTTTTTGTTTTTTTTTTGGGGGGGGGTTTAAAGCCACCAGAATGCAGCTCGGGTCGGTGTTTGTCTGCCAGGACAGAGCTAGAGAGGGGCAAACCGATAGATCAGATTGGGGCCCAGCCTGGCCCGTCTCAGTGCCCTGGAGGAAGGATTGAGCTTATGAGTGAGAGGGGGTAGGGTGGTGGTGCTGTTGGCAGAGAGGAGGTGCCTTAATGGAGTCTTTCAGTTTGCTGTGGCTGTAAATGAAAAGAGGCTGAAAGTCAGCCAATTACCATTCCTTAGAGGAGGGAGAGAGGGCATGTGGCGCTGGATCATTGCCACATATATATATTTCTATATAGATATATCTATATCTACATATAGATATCTATGTATATCTATACCTATACATATCTATCTATCTATCTATCTATCTATCTATCTATCTATCTATCTATCTATCTATCTATCTATCTATCTATCTATATATCTATCTATCTATATATATATATCTATATATATATATATATATATATATATATATATATATATATATATATATACACACACACAGACAGACAGACATACATACATAGATAGATAGACAGAGGGTTTATTCAGACTAGCCTCCAGACATTGGCTGTTCTCCCAGAAATTTTCCCCCAGTGCAAAAGGTTAACTGTCAGTCCCCCACTAGGTATAAATAGAAGGCTGCCCTGCAGAAAGGCGTGTTCTGGGATGGGGCAGACAGACAGAGGCAGGAAGAGCAGGAGGGGCAGTCTCTTATGATCCCAGTGACACACAAGTGGGAGGGCAGCAGTTTCAGGTCTATTTGGCTCATTGGTGATGGTCCCACAAAGAAGAGGAAGGAGAAGGAAGATGCAGCCAAAGACATCATGGTGGCTTTGGGGACTGACAGAGCGCAGGGACAAAAGAGCGTCTTCATCCATTGAGCTTCGCCGTGGCAGCAGAGACAGTCACCAGCTCCCCAGACAGCTTAATTCTGATATAGTCTGAGACTTCAATAAATTCAAGGGGCTATAGTAAACGCTGTTTGGGTTAGTTGTGTTTTCACCAACAATGGAAGAGATGTTGTTTTTTTGTCTTTTAACTTTTATTTCAGAAACTGTTTAAAATCAGTGAGTTGCAAACTATAACTGTTTTATATAGCTTTTCACTAACGGGATTCAATGAAATCTTCCCTGTGTAACATTTGTGGTGAAAATGGTTCCATTGTTCCGAAGGACAAGATGTGTTTTTCCTAACTTGTGAAATTGAAACTAAAAAAACTTTGATGTGCAAGCAAAAACTCTAGCATAGCTGCTCTATAAGGAGAAGGATGTGATTTTTGATTGTTTCTATGAAAAACAGAATAGTGTAAAGAGCCTGAAGTCTTTTGCCGTTTTCCTTCATGAAGCTGCAACCGTCTTTCTTTTATCAACTCTGGCCAAGTTCCCTTTTATGACGCTACCACCACCGTGTTACATTGAAATTTTTTTTTTACCAAACACGTATGCAAAGAAAAACGTTCAGGTTTGGTCTCATGTGACTAAATCTCCTTCCTCCACTTTCTGTGGAGGAAGGAGATTTTCTCAATTTTCAAGCTTAACTGGCACTGAAAGTGGTGATTAAGTTGGAAAGACAAATAGATAATTTTACAACAATACAAATTAATATTTTACTTCATTTTAAAGAATCAACTGGTGTTTTTTTTTTTTTTTACATAAAAAATGTACTCAGATCACTATTTAAGAAAATAATCTGATGTAAAACTCAATTAGGCAGTTGTTTTGAATAAAGAGCAAAGTGGTGTGTATAATTTGTAGAACCAGAATTATTAGTCAGTATCTGCATCATACAAGAAATCATCCGAGCATGTTAAGATTATTGCACAAAAATGTCTTTTGCATTCCTGGTTCATGTGTGTGATTTTATATGTCTATCATGTTCGAAATAAATAAATAAAAATAATAATCATGACTTTTCACTTATGTTATCAGACTTTTTTTCTTAAATCATTGGGTGAAAACTGCATTTTCTATATACTTTGATTTTCAGTATTAAACATTATTTAAATATAAAAGAAATCATTCTTTCATCCCTTCATGATTCTAATGACAACACAGATATTGTCAGTTTTTTTTTTTTTATTTTTCACTTGAACTCAAGGGAGCAAAAAAAACATACATCACTCAAATTTAAGACAGAATTAAAACACATCAAAACAAGGTGATATGCTGCATCAGAAGGAAAAAAAAATACAATAAATAAAGCTTCCTCTCTTGTTTAGCATACCTGAATGAATGCAGACTCCACTTGGAGCGGTCTGCCACCGAACACATTTCAAAAAATATATATATCAGGTATCCTTAGATAATGCTACACAATGAACTTCAATCGATGGTTTGACACAACATAGAATTTTTTTTATTTTTATCTCGTCTGGTGAGAGTCATTGGCGTTGACTCCAAAGGCATGAAATCTGACAAAAAAAAACAAAACGACGTTATTGCTTTTTTTTTTTTGTTTTTCTCCAATCAACTCACACTGCATGTACATAGATCATTTCTAAGCCTTTTGTCAAGAATAATAATAAATAAGAATGATCGGCTCATGTGTGGTGTGATTGCACTTAATCCTCTTGACCCCTAAACACTAAACATACTGTCGGTCTAGTGTGGCAATACCTGTGTGATTACATCGGCAGAATGTTTTACACGTACAAGCACTAATGACAATATCTCTACACAAAAGGAGGAAACTAAACCCTTATAGTGACAAAAGCACTAAATTCTATAAAACACAGGCAATCACAGATTGCAAATCTTAAGTAATAATGTCTCGCCCACACATTTGATCGGTGCATGTTCCCAAACTGTTGAAGTGAGTTTTTTTCAAGATGTGACTGGGAAAATGAGTGTGATCACATGATTCTACGAGACATCTAGCTCCTAAAGGTTATATACTTCTTTCCTTTCAACTACAATCCTGTTTTTTTTTTTTTTTTGTTGCCCGGATCTAAAACAGTAGAAAATACAGTCTGTAAAAAAATAGATATTGTACTGACAACCAATTGTAAGTCAATATTGTACTTTTTTTTTTTTTTTTTTTACAAGCAAAACATAAAATCAAAGAAGAGGCTGTCAAGTTTTGCATGAGGTGCCCCAAATGTCTTACAGTGTACCTCTTAAACACAAACGCATGTGCTTATACTCACTTAGTATAGAGTATTCTGAACAATGGCACTTTTTACATACCACCATTTTGCTTTTCATTTCAACTATCTACATAAACCAACACTCTGGGAAACCATTTGCTTTCCTCTGAAATCCTGAAAACAAATGCACAAAGCTCATCTTCATTTTTACTGGAACTAACCAAGCAACAAACCCATTTTGCCATTTGCAGAAAAGCTAAGCATTTTTGTTTTTTGCTCCCCAAGTTCAAAGCGCAATTTCCAAATAAGAAACTCTTAGAAAAGTCCAGCTGCAGATCTGCAACCCTGCGAGGTCTGATGCAAGAAATAAGCAATCCTGCAACTATTTACTCATATCGCATCTAATCTGCAGGGCCTCGTATAAAAACTTTGCTCCAACTTTGATGAGGTGAGGGAACTGGAGCTTATAAATTGCATTTACAATTAGGAGGCTCTTGAAAATTTAAAGCAAGTCTAAATTAACTGTACATTAAAATTCACCTTTGAGAAATCGTATTTTTTACTTACACAATCTCAAGTAGTTCAGCTAAAGTTAAAATTTGAAAGAAAGCAAATAATTTCCCAAACTGTTCCTCAAGAACCGAAGAGTCTAAATCTGTATCCCACATGCGTCTGCTAGTTTAGTGAAAACTTTCTAAAAATAAATACTTTAATTTGGTTTGATGGGGAACATGCAATACCGCTGAATACATTTCTATGAAAGAGTGAAGACAGGCGTGTCCCCACTCAGACTAAATTTCCCTTTTATGACCATATTTCAGTCAGGTTAAAAAAAACAAAAAACAAAACCCCAAGAAAATCTCAAGACATCTTTGCAAAATCGTCAAGTCTTTTCTGCTAAGACCATACTACATCCACACTCAAACACTCGCGCACACAGGAGTCCACTTCATGAAACAAAATCATTGTGTGTCCATTTGTCACATGAGACAAAGCAGAACAAAATCAAAACAAGGCCAAGTCCATCCTCCAGTTCAGTGCGAAGGATGCCTTAATGCTAATGGAGGACATCGAGAATGGCGATTCATTTGGCTGCAAGAAGATTCGAAGGGCATGGCACGTTAGCGGATGGGGCAGAATTGACCTGTACTTTGTTATTAGAACAAAGGATGGAGTCAAAAACAAGGAGTCGGTTTTTCTCAGGTTATCCTTCTCATTCTTCCTTTCTCGTTAATCCATTTCTGCTTAAAATGTTCTTCGCTTAAGGTCTTCCTCTATAGCACTTGTGCAGTTCACGGTTCAGTCCATGTGGGGTTTCTCAACGCCACCCTGAGGAAAGACAAAGGTGAAAGCAATCAGCTGAGAAGAAGAACACAAACTCAAATACACGAGTAGAGACATTGAATTGCATCGAAGTCTATGACTAATGTCAATTTTCAGTCATAGGCTAATGTGCGTTTGGCTTGCAAAATTATATGTATGAGTTTTCCATTAAAATATACAGGGCTAAAGGATAATGTAATATTTTAGAACTTTACAGTCTGGTTATATATTAACAGAAAAATAGGTATGATCCCCCGAGAAGTGCTGGGTTCTTAATTTCATTAAAGATCAAAACCAAAATTCCTGAAAAATAAATGGGTTTTATATTCAATAATATAATGTTGACATACTTTTAATTTGGATTTGACTGACAACCAGCAAATAAATGCACTATTAACTCTAAAACTATAGTGAAAACAGCAGTCCTTAATTGATTGCATGTGGGAAAATTCTGCTAAAATGTTTTTTTCCACCATAACAGGCTTACATATGAATCTTAATAAAGATGCTCTGAAAACAACAACAAAAAAAATGGTGGCGCATAAAACAACAACTTAATTCGCCCCCTGATCCTTAGCCGAAGCACCAGAAGGAGGAAAAGGGGAAAAAAAAAAAAAAAAAAAAAAACAGCAAACAAAACCCCCACGTTCAGACTTGTGCCAGCATTCCACAGGCCTCATCGCAAACAAAAACAACAAGCAGCGAATGACCCTCTGGTCAGCCGAGTCCTGACTAGCTCTCAGCGCCTCGCAGCGACTGTGAAAAACAAGAGCTCTTAATCTGCTTTCACGCTCTCGCTGAGTCAAACTGAGGGAGTGACGGGACTCTTACTTTACAGACAGAATGAGGTGAGGCTTCCAGGCACAAGCTTAATGAAGACATCAAAGCTGACTTGATGGGATAATTATGACAGAAAAGCAAGGGGACTGGGGGGGAGGAGGGGGGGAAGCATGCAATTTATTTGCAAGCTCTGTGGCTCTGCTATATAAGTGCTAAAAAAGTATATGTAATGAATAGGAGCCCTTTTAAAGTCTTTATTTTTATTAATAAGTGGTATGGAAGTTGATGGAGATAAATGGAGTGGAGTTATTCTGAGCAAATACAGCAGAATAAAAGAGATCTCAGAATTTCAGCTTGGCAGTCAACATCAAGTCAATTATGTGACGTATTCCACTAAAACATCTGGAGCGAAAACTACTTTGACAACCAAGTGGCCTCTGATTGGTCAATGGGAATGATACAGATAATCAATAGCAGAAACAAAGGGTTTTCATACTTTTATCAAAGGCAGCTTTATTGCTGCCTTTGATAAAAGTATGAAAGTTTAAGAACCAACATTCTTAAACTGTGTGATGTAAATGTTACGTTAGGCATCAGTTTGCAAGTTTAACCTTTCGTACAGAATTAAAAACCCAAAAGAAAAGGCAGCAAACGTTACCATGGCCAGTTGCCGTCCGATGTTGCCCACAGTGACACCGCCTGAGAAGAATATGCAGGGGAGCCAGGAGCGCACATACAGGAAGTCTGGAGATGTGTACCTGAAAAAAGAGGAATAAAGCGGATTATTAAATAACTGTAAAGGTTTTTAGAAAAACTTAGATTTTATAACTGAGCAGTTCTGGATTTAAAGTGCATACAAATTGCAGTAAAACAGTCCACAAACTTTTTTTTTCTTCCTTTTTTGGCTAAATTTGATAAGCAGATTGTGGCAGTTAAGTATAAAATGTTTCGAAATTGCGATTACCTAACTATAATGCCTCCTACAGTTTAGGTTTCAGAAAATGTTGTTGATGGAGGATTTTAGTTAATGTCTGAAATCCCTATTTGAGGCTAAACGTTAAATATGCACTTTTACAAATTTACAGAGGGGCTAGAAAATTCTTAAACTAGAAGTTTGATTTTAATGACATAGATACATAGTTTTAAGTCAGTTTCACTAGCAGATTTATGTGAGCGAAAACTGTTTGACTCACTGATAAACTCCGTTGTAGACCAGCAGCTGTGTGATGACGGTAGCCAGGAAGGCGGTGGTGATGCCCAAGCCAAAGCCACTTCTGGAGCGGTCAAATGTCCACCACAGGCCCAAAGACAAGGCGGCCAGGGTCAGGGAGAGCTGCACATTGTTGGCGAAATCTAGTTTCTGGGTTAGAGTAAGTTAAGGGCAAAGTCGAACGGATTGGCGTCAGAACGGGAGGATGTGTAGGACTGTGATCTCAAGCAAATATTTGTCTGGCCGATTGTGACCGAGTTCCATCAATAACAAATGTAAAAGTCGGTCATTGTGTCCAAACCGTATCCTCTGGAGGAATTTACTACAACTTCTGAGAAGAACTTAGTTTGGGAATCAGCACTTTGAGAAAGGATACAACACTTGCATGGTTGATTCCGACAAACACTGCGATACATCTCATCACACTGGCCCACTCTCTCTTGAACTTGTGCGGCTCCCCCAAATGGCTGTCGAGGCAGGGATAGAGAAGGCCGATAACAGCTGCAACAAATAGAAAAGAGGAACAAACAGGCCTGAATTATACAAGATAAGCAGAAAATTGTGTGACCCACAGTGAGCCAATCCTGAGAAAGCTGTGAAAGATTATTTGCTGAACATGTTTTTTTTTTTACTTAGTGACTCATTTGCACTCATGCAGAGCACTGTGAAAGTATTCAAATCTTTTAACTTTTATATTGTAGCCTGTAATGTATTTTATTAAGATTTTATTACAAAGAGCAATACAAATTGGAGGATAATTGTGAAGGAAAACAAGACCTAGTTTTTCAAAATATCTGAAATATCCGAACTTCAATATCTTCCTTCATTTGTCAGAGCGCAACAAAATACATTGAAATTTGTAGCTAAAACGTGCCAAAAATATCAAGTTTGAACTTCACCATTTCTGTGGTTAAAAACTGAACAAAATTCATTTCATTATACTTACACACTGTTTCAAGAAGAATAAAAAGACACAAATTAGGAAATGACAGATAGAGTTAAGAAAAGAATGAAATACACAAGGAAGAAAGTGAGGAAAGAAAACAAAAACAAAGGACCAAATGAAGGCAGGAAATAAGGACAACTTTTCAGCAACACGATAGGAACTCACGCGACGTAAGCAACACGTGAAATAAACAATACTTTTAAAGATTTTATCAGGTTATGTAGAAAACCTGCTAACATGTCGCTGCACACTGCCTGACAGCTGGCTAAAAGAAGGCTCTTGCACTTTTACCTCACAAAACAAACATCTGGTGCTAGGGAAATATTTGTAAACTAAACTAACTGGATTAACATGAATCCTGGATGTCCAGGTAAGGCGTTCTGGAAACCAGTGTTGACAATCTACAAGTTCTGTGAGTCCATCAAATTAACTAGCTAATATAGTTGTCTTATGTGTGTGGATCTATATAAAAAAATAATACTGAAAGTTTGTTATGATTACCCTGAAAACTGCCAGTAAATCTAGCTGATATTTATTTTCCGTTTTGTCTTAGGTTTGTGTACTAAAACCAAAATGACACCAAATATATATTTAATATAAATTTAATATAGCCGTCTTAATTAATAGCTTACTGTTAAGCATCTAGCCCAAGGCTGGTCCTAATTAACTAGTTCACACAAAGGGAATCTGGAAATCTCCAACATAAAACCACCTGTGCATTTCTTTATGTTACAAACTCAGCCTAATTTATAATAACAACCTTTTACAGCATAGAAGACTTAACATTTATTAAAATAGATATGTGTAGCTAAAATATGTTAAGGAAAATTTGTTTAATTTATTTCTGCTTGTTATTTTAGATCACATAACCCAATGTATAACTGTTTTAATGGCTTTTATTTAATTCAATGCAGTACACAGTAGCTGCCTTTTCCTCTAATTTTGTGAAAGGAAATACAAAAATCCCTTTCAAGGAACTATACAGTTAAATAAAAGACAAAAAAAAAATCAACATCATTTTTTGTTTCATTTCTCTTTCTGCCTCGCAGCACATGGGGGGAGGAGCCTAACACGGATGTGTCCGGGGTTTTCAGGGAGGGCCTTCAACTCACCCGTTATGACATCAACCAATGAGCGCACACCTCACGTAGTGAGCAGCCAATCAGAAGGCAGGCATCTCTATTACGCGTCTATACTCAGGTTTTTTGATAACAAGCTGGCTGACATACCAAATTTAGACTGTAGCTTGTGAATGATAACCTTATGTATCTGCAAGGAAATGAACAACAGAAGGAAGCGCCCTACTTGCTTAATACATTATTAGTTTAAAGGCTAATGTGTCATTTTGTCCATAAGTTAGCAACCACTGACACACGGTAGGAAAGTGTTTTATAAAGTGAATGGCCACTCACCAGCTCCTGTCCCGCAGCATGGCGGGATCCACCAGGCAGATGACAACAGAGTTGTCATCACCTCTTCGGGAAACAGAGTGACATTTCTCTGTATCTGCAGCAAGTTGAGCACCAGCGCCAGAAATGCCCCCACTGTGAAGAGGACCAGACCCCTTCGGATGAGGTTGGCGGTGCGGACGTCGTGCAGGGAGCCGTAGGCGCTGCCAAGCATCGCGGTGATGATGGACATCATCTCTTCAGCTTTGGAAGCGAACCAGTTCGCTCCGGACGAATGCTTGGTCTCAGCCTTCGGTGAACAAGAGCAGCTCCAGCAGTGGTCTTCTAGTCTGGGCATTTGGCACTTTTGCTCTATTTGTCATAAAGAAATAAGTCTTATTAGGGTGATGCTGAAAAAAAAGAAAGAAAAGGATTGAAGTGAGAAGAGTCAGGATTCTAGCCCCCTTACCTTGCTCTCTAGACGGTTTCTGAGTCTGATTCAAATAGAAACCTCCACGCCTGCTCATGCAGCCAGGATCCCCCCCGCTTTGTTTTCCTGCTCTCTACAACAGTCACACGAATGACGTTGTTCTGTTCATATCTTCTTCGGTAAACACACCGTGCTGCTTCATTCAGCGAGTAAAGAAGGGCTGATCGTACCAACAAGAACAGCAGCTTCCTCTGCAGAAAACAATCTCAGCTGTGTCGGGTGAGAGTCGGCAGCCAATCGGAGCGCGGCGGCTGATATGACGTGACGCCTCTGCCCCGCCCCCTTCGTCCGGTGCAGACAGACGCCCAGAGATTAGGTGGTTCTGGGACAGAAGTGAAAGTAGAAACAATACTTTTAAAACCTTGACTTCCAAAGAGAGGCATTCATCAAAAACTTTGCTGTGTTTCACAATCGGACGATAACCAGCAGGGCTCATTTTTACCTATTTAGTCGTAGTTTAACGACAAAAATATATTTTAGTTTTGGTTCCAATTTAGGAATTTCTTATATTTTTATGATAAAAAATTACAGTCAATTTTAGGTCATGTCTAAAATCGCACCTGGCAGTTTGCTGGTGGTGGACCCATGTGGAAGTGGCACTCTGTTGCCTTATAAGGGCTGAGCTGCAGTGCCCCAGTTCCTGGGGCACTTATTTTGAACCACCTCCAGAGCAGTTCCCTAATTTCTTTACTCCAGGTATCATGGCCTTTCTTCATCAAGGACGAAATCTTGAATTATTGGCCAGAGACCTCAACAGAATTATTAGGGTAATAGCTACCCAAACCTCTC